CTCTTGACCTTATGTAATTTTGTCGTGTCATTGACATATGACTTTGTTTAGAATTGATAAGCTAAATTTCTTGTTCCTAACAATTCACGATGTAGCCTAGCCACTGCTACTATGAGTTTGATCAATTGATTTGCCTCGACTAAGTTATGATTTTTATTTTTTTTATTCACATTCCTATGTGCTCAATATTTTTAATCTCTTACTTATGAGTTCTTTGTGTTGAAATCTTAAAATATCTTACACTCAGTAGAGATAGTTGAGGTTGAAACTTAGATGTATGACCGAGGTAATTTTAAGATCGAGAGATTTATAATTTAATTGGAAGTTAATAAAAGAACTAGACTTGAGGCCCTTGTTAATTAAAACTTGACTCACATACTTCCTGGTTAGAGCCATCCTTGTAACAATTGCTCAATTTTATTTGGAGCTAATAGATGAGTCAAAATTGTTGTAAATTAGTTTTGATATTTGTTAATAGATAAGTACAAGTTGTTATTAATTAGTTTTGTTATTTGTTATGGATAGTTAAAATGTTTGATATTTGTTATATTATCAAGATTTTTTTTTAGCTTTAGTCTTTAAATAGACTTGTAATACATTCATTTTTGCAACGAAAATATTATTCTCAATCTCGTGAGAGATTATTTCATGGTATCAGAGCATTTCTGATTCACGTCTCGTCATCAATTCTTCCCATGTGTCTGCTATTCGTTAACACGTGTTTCCGTCTTCTTTGCTTTTAGTGCTCATTCCATGGCGAACTCTACTACTTCGAATGATCTTACTTCTCAAATATTTCTTCTCTCAAATATCTGTAACCTTGTTTCTATATGTCTTGATGCATCTAACTTTGCGCTGTGGAAGTCCAATTGACCTCAATTTTGAAGGCACACAAGTTCTATGGCTTCGTTGATGGGTCAAGCATCAAGCCTTCCCTTCATCTAGCATCTGCTCCGTCCTCTTCTTGGCCACCACAACCCAATCTTGCCTTTGAAGATTGGACTGCAAAGGATCACGCTCTTATGATGGTGATCAATGCTACCTTGTCGCCTATTGCTCTTGCCTATGTCGTTGGCTGCGAGATGTCCTAACAGGTTTTGGACAACTTAATCAGACATTACTTGTCTAATTCCCGCACTAATGTTCTAAGTATCAAATCGGATTTACAATCAATCACCAGACAGTACATTCAAAGAATCAAAAAACTCAAAGATCGAGTGGCGAATGTGTCTGTTATCATCGACGACGAGGATCTGAGCATCTATACCTTAAATGATCTGACAGCTAATTACAATACCTTTCACACGTAATTACAATACCTTTCACACGTCAATACGTACGTGTGCACAATCGATTACACTTTAGGAGCTTCACGTTCTGCTGGTATCGGAGGAAGTTGTCCTAAAGAAGCAAGTTGAGGTGTCGTTTGTTTGGTGGTAATCTATGATACCCATCCCATAGGCATTTGGATTACCTTGTTTGAATTGTGGTAATCTTAAAATGACGAGGATGCCAGACATCTTAGAATCCATCATTTGTAGCCATTTTGATTACCATTTAAAAGCTGGGTTTTTGAGATTCCCTCTTATCAGGAATCATCAAATGACCAAATTTACCCCTAACTCTATGATATTAGGTATTTATTTTAACATTAACTTTCTTTCTATTTTCTACATTTTCCTTCATGCTTCTATCTTTTCACGTTTTTTCGATTGTATTTTCTATTAAATTTTTTAATATTTTACTTTATGAATAAGTAAAAAAGTGAACCTTCCTATTGAAAGATCAATGTCTTCTGTGTTTTCATCCTTGTTTTTCACATTTTATTATACTTTTTTTCTTTTTTTTTTTAATTAAGAATTTGAGAGGATTTTTTGTTTTCAAAAAATTTTGAAAAAGTTGTTGGAATGATTTTTTTTAAAACACAATCAAAATGTTTTTTTTTTGCATTAATATTTTTTGTATTTAAATTATCTATTTTTGTTTTTATTTTCTACATTTTAATTTTCTGCTTATTATTTTCTGCATTTTAATTTTAATTTTCTCCATTTTAGTTATCGACATTTCAATTTATTTTTAAATATAAATACAAATTATATTAAATTAATGTATAAATTATATCAATATTCGTAAGGACATTTTTGGAAAATTACATAAATTTACAACATTCCCGCGAATAAATCTTGCAAACCAAATGTGGCTATCTAAATATTCTCGGATATCCTTATAAATTTTCCTACAAAACAGATGTGGCTATTTTGAATTCCGGACATCTAAAATTTCGGATATATGAGATTTTGGACATCTGAAGATGTCAAACATCTACATTTCCAAAAAACAAACGGCCCCTAAAGGTTTTAAGAAATTCAAGTTTCCTCACTCTGAAACCATTGGTAATATGAGTCACGATTGAGGACTTATACCTCTTGGTGCATCACTTGACAAAGCCCTTTCAGACAGTACTTCATTTCGCAGTGTTTGCCAGATTTGTTCAAAAACTGAACACAATGCTCTTGATTGTTTCGACTGGATGAACTACAACTTTCAGGGATGTCATCCCCCAGTGAAACTTGTAGCCATGGTTGCCAATCACAACTATTCTACTCTTGCCGCAAATAATTTTCGGTGGCTCTCACTGATTCGGGATGTAATGCCCATGTGATGACAAATCTCAATCAGCTTGCCTCTGTTTCTGATTATTCAGGTGATGATCAGGTTGGCATAAGTAATGGTCAATGTCTACCAATTGATCACACAAGTTGTGGTGTTGTAAATACCTCCTACTATTCTCTCAATTCAATAATATACTTCATGTTCCATCAATCTCTTCAAATATGCTCTTTGTTCATAAACTTTGTGTGGACAACAATTGTTTCATTGTTTTTTATTCTAATTAATTCTTTCTTCAGGACAAATGTTCGAGCTTGATTCAATTCCACGGTCATAGCATCAATGATATATATCTTATTCCTTCTACTGTCCATGTTGTCTTCCTTAGTACCAGTCTCTAAAGTCGCTCATATCGGTTCAAAGATACCCTCTATCACTTGGCTCTAAAGTCGCTCATATCGGTTCAAAGATACCCTCTATCACTTGGCTGGTTAAGCCATCCAAATAATTCAATTCTTAATTCTGTACTTCATTCTCTGAATTTACGTACTTATAAACCTACTAGTTGTATTTGTACACATTGCATCTTTAGAAAAATGCATTGTTTGTCATTTTATTGCCATCCACTGTTTCTTCATTTCCTTTGGAGTTTTTTCATACTGATGTATGGCGCCTTGCCCCTAAAATTTCAATTAATGGATTCAACTATTATGTCTCCTTCGTTGATGACTACTCTAAGTATATTTGGCTTTATCCATTATCCTTGAAATCTGATGTATGCGCTACTTTTAAATCCTTTAAATCTTTAGTTGAAAAATTGTTTAACTAAAAAATTAGAATCCTACAAACTGATGGTGGGGAAATTCATAAGCCATACCCTTGGATCATTTCTTCATTCAAATGACATTTTCCATCAAAAGTTTTGTGCTTATATTCCTCAACAAAATGGAGTAGTCGAGAGAAAACACCGACATATCGTTGAAATGGCCTTAACCTTAATGTCTTGAGCCTCATTACCTATTAAATTTTGGCCTTTCGCTTTTGCTTGTACTGCTTTCCTCATCAATTGACTTCCCTCTCCAAATATGTTCAGCAAACCACCTTTCGAATATCTTTTTCATAAACCTCCTAGTTACTCATTTCTCAAAACATTTGGGTGTACCTGCTATCCTCCCCTAAAACCATACTCCTCCCAAAAACTCGAACCTAAATCCACCAAATGTATGTTTCTTGGTTATCCTCTTGACTATAAAGACTATCTTTGCTTCAACATGAGCACTTCACACCTGTATATTTCTAGACATGTCATTTTTTTTAAATGTCATTTCCTTTCGCTGAGACTATCTCCACTACCTCCTCATCTTCATCAACGTCGTCCTCTCATTTCTTACCTTCTCTTTCTCTTCTTTTACCTTCTACCACATCACCATAACCTAATTTGTCAAATGGTAGTGATTCTACTACTTCATACACTGATACTCCTTATGGGTTGTTGACTATTTCATTGTTTACTTACGATCTCTATTAGTGTATTGCATACTTATTCCACAAATATACCTGTTGTTGACTCTCTTTCTTTGAGAATTGATGTTGGCTCTCATGCCTCTATTTCTGAGGCCTCTATCTCTATTCCTCACACCAATGTCCATCTTATGCAAACTAGAGCCAAGTCAGGCACTTCAAAAAAGAAGTTGTATTTAGCAACTTTTTCCATCCACTCTAATGATCCAGCAGAGCCTTCGTCCTTCTCTAAAGCCTCCAAGCTCTCTGTTTGGCGTCAAGCTATTAATGAGAAATATATTGTCCTAGTTAACCAAAATACATTGTGTTTCACCCCTCTACCTCCGAGTAAGAATGTGATTGTCTGTAAATGGGTTTATCGTATCAAAAGGAATCCTGATGGGAATGTGGTTCAATATAAGGTAAGGTTTGTCGCAAAGGGATATCACAAAGAAAAAAGGATTGATAATGATGAAACATTTGGTCCCGTCATCAAGAAACCTATTGTTCATATTATCTTCTCTTTGGCAGCTCAATATGGCTGGTCTTTTTGGCAACTGGATGTTAAAAATATCTTTCTTCATGGTGAATTTTGAGAAGAAGTTTATATGCAACAACCACAAAAATTTTTTGATTCTACACATCCACATCATGTTTGTAAGTCTCTGAAGTCTTTTTATGGTCTTGAGCAAGCACCTAGAGCTTGGTTTGATTGTTTTACGTCCCACTTACTTACCCTTAGATGTCAAGGGTTTATAGCTGATTCTTCATTATTTGTTAGACATAAGGGTGGATCTATTACCTACTTGTATGTGGATGATATTATACTTATTGAAACTGATGCCTCATATATCGGCACTCTCATATCTCAGTTATAGCTTTGATTTGATATGAATGACTTGGGTTCCCTTCACTACTTTCTTGGGCTTGAAATTACTTATGCTACTGCTGGTATCATGGTGCATCAAGCTAAATATAATAAGGATGTTCTTCAGCGTTTTGGTACGTTAGGTGCTAAGCCTAGCTCCACTCCTCTTGCACTCGTAGCTGCTGATTTGGGAACTCATTGTTATGTTGACTATGCTAAGAATTATCGGGCCTTGATTGAGGTGTTGCATTACTTGACTTTTAGTCGCCCTGATATTATGTTTGCCGTAAGAAAACTTTCACAGCATATACATATGCCTTATTCCTCTCATTTAGCTACTGCCAAGAGAGTGTTGCACTACTTGGGTGGTACAGTTGGCCTTGGTTTTCTATTTCGGAAGGGTAGTGTTGATTTAATTCGCCTCCAAGCTTATATATTCTGACTCTGATTGGCAGGGAATTCTAGCGATTGACGCTCAACCTCTGGTTTTGTGTTTTTCTTAGACCATAATCCTATCTCGTGGGGAGCCAAAAAATAGACTACGATTTCTCGAAGCTCCATATGAGGCAGAATATGGTGCTCTTGCTTCCGCAGCGACTAAACTTTCTTGGCTAAGATAACTCCTCGAAGATCTTCTCATTTTTAGCACCAAGCCACCTATCTTGTGGTGTAATAATATCTTGGACATCCAGGTAGCCCATAATCCTATTTTTAATGTTCAAGCGAAGCATGTGGAGATCGATTTTCATTTTGTTTGGGAACATTTTGTTCGTAAAGACATCGAACATCACTATGTTCCTACATATCTCCAGCTTGTCGACCTCTTTACGAAGACACACACCACTACTCGACTGTTATCTCTTCAGTCCAAACTCATGCCCCCTAAAGAAGTATTTGTTTGCGGGGATAAAAGATTAGTCAAAATTGTTGTAAATTAATTTTGATATTTGTTAATAGGTAAGTGCAAGTTGTTACGAATTAGTTTTGTAATTTTTATGGTTATTTAAGTTGTGAGATATTTGTTATATTATAAGATTATGTTATAGCTTTAGTCTTTAAATAGACTTAATACACTATTTTTGCAATGAGAAGAACACTTTCAATATTGTGAGAGATTCTTTCCGGAGCATCAATAAGAATGTCAAACGATTAATAGTTAAAATAAATCTTATGGGAATATCAATGGAAAAGAAGATCCTATAGAATTGATTTTATTTACATGAATTATGAATTAATTTATAATTTAATCGATATTGAATATATCAACTTTATAAGGCAATAACTAGATATCTCCCTCCACTGCCTCTCTCGAACCTTCATTAATTCTCTTTGCTAATTTTGTAACCAATATTTCTTTCTAGTTTTAATAACATGAAACTGAATTCTAATTCTCTTGATCTTAAAAAATTTTAATACGTCTTAGTTATAGCTTCATTCTACCTCTTGGAACATAAATTTTAGGTCTAGCTAGTATCACTAGCCTATAGTGAGTGGATTAAACAAATGAATAAGAAAGAAAAACATAAATTAAAATACCATATTCATCCAATCAAAATAAACTAATAAATCAACTCACAAAAATTGTATCTCTACACCAACTCCTAGGAACAAAAAATTTAGTGTTATGTGTCTTCAAGCAATGAGACCATGGGAAGTGTCTCAATGTTGCCCATGCAGGGATCTCAAGCCTTGTCACATCAGGCTGTATATATGCCTTCTATGCCACTAGGTGTCTTTATCCTCCAATTGATTGTCTAAAATCTCTGAATTTCTAGAAACGCACATGTTTGAGAATAATTTTGACGTAATCAGAATCACTCTTACTCAAGTCAAAATTATGTTTCATTTCAAAATAGAATGCTAACGATGATTCATGGATTCATAAAATCACTTTTAAGTGATTTCCGTCAACATTTGGAGGTGATGAGTGTATCCCATTGATTTTTAAATGATTAGGAAGAAAATATGATGCGAGGACCCAATCCACCAACTATCTGAAATGTTGGCAAACAGGGCCAACGTAGTGACCAACACTACCTTTTCCTTTTGCTATCTCTCACGACCCCGTCACTAGAAAATTGGAAGGTCACAAACCGCCCTCTACAGTTTCAAATGTGAAACGGTGCTAAAGCAGGACCCGTGACTACGAAAAATGACTGCTCAACAGCTTTTCAGCCCCCTAACCTTGTATATGTATATTATTCTAGCGCTAGYCTAGCGCGCCCCTTTCTCTAATAAGAAGGTCGGCTTTGACCTTTTCTACTCACTCGTAGGGTCCGGACTCCCACAAAGGGGGAGGGAGTCGACTGAACATCTCAGCCATACAATTCTTTATTATATCTGGATGGCGAGATAATTCCATCTTGAAAAGAGAAGCAGCCTGGTCCTGGAGTTCTCGACCCTTTAGAGATAGGGGCAAGGCACAAGAGGATGTACTAGGCCAACCATTTTAATTTTTAAAATTGTCTAAAAAAACTAATAAAAAATTAATTTTTAAATGATTATTATTTTAATTTTCAAAATTCTCTTTCTATTAGCCTAATGTTGACCTTAAATTTTGAGAATCTTTTTTCTTTTCTAAATTTTTGTCACTTGTAACTTTATTTATCTTTAATTTTGTTTAACTTTGTTTATCTTTAATTTTGTTTATTCTGTACGACTTTTCTTTTTCCTAAAATTTTTATAATCTCTCCTTAAATTTTTAGTTCAAAATTTTTGTCTCTCACTTTTAAAATTTTTTGTCTAATATTTTTGTTTTTCTCTCTGAAAATTTTGTCAAGTTCTTTTTAAACTTCGTTCAAAATCATTTTTAATTATATAAAAATTACTTGAAAAAGTGTATTAGTTAAATAAGATGACTTTCATAAAATCTCAATGGTCTCTTTTACTAAAATCAGTCATTTTAAAATCATTCCCAAACAAGTCTTAAATCTGCTTTAAATATCAAATTCCTCCCAAATTTTCAATCATAATTTCTGTTTAGATACACATACTAACAATATTCATGAGATAATCATGCATAAAAGTAGGACACAAAGTCTGCTAACAATTATGATTTAGATTTCTTTTGCGCTACAAATCTATGATGTGGTCTAATATCTATGCAGTGATCTTTTATATTCTTTATTTCTAATTAATGGAATTAGTTTCTTTTTTATGAGTTTTTTCACTTTGTTCTTAATGGCTTGTGATTGTTTGATCACCCATTGTAGGATTTTAGATTCAATTTGAGATTGAAAAAATTGAATAAGTCCTGAAATATTTAGTCATAGGTGACATTGATGTTTAGGAATTCTTGTGCAGTTTTTATGAATTATCCTTAAGCTTGATGTAATTGTCAGAGCAAAATACAATTAAGGAAACACGAAACGGAACAATCCGAACTCAAAGTAGCGTTATTTCTTCGAGACAATTTTGTTTCCTCTATTATATTCAATGTATCTCGAACAATCGTCTACATCATAGGACGGATAACCCACCTAGGAATATAGTACTCAATCAACACTATAAATGGCTCATTTGATAACCATTTCGTTTTTTGGTTTTGTTTTTAGTTTTTAGTTTTTTAAAAATAAGGTCTTTTGATAACCATTCAATTTTATATTTTTCAAAAACCATTTTAAATTTCTATGTAAATAAAAAAAATAGTTTTCAAGAACAAATTTTTCTTTTTAAAAATCTTCTATAAAATTTATTTTTTTCTCATTTAAATTTTCATATTTTAAATATTTATTATTATTTATCTCTCACTATTTATTTTTATTTCTAATATATCAATTTCATTTCTCCCTCTAAGAATTTAATATTTTTTCGAGCGGTCTAAAATTTCATTTTTTATAACTTGTCTTTCTCTTTCTAATCTATTTTTCCTCTAAAAATTATATCTTTCTTTTTCGTTCAATTTTGTTTCACGGTAACTTTTATTTCTCTCTCTATTATTTATTTTTTCTAAAAATTATATTTTGAATCTTGTTTTTATCTCTAAATTTTTTCTCTTTCTTTATGATTTCTTTTTTCGTTAACTTATCTTTTCTTCTCAACTTTACTTTTTTTGTTCTCTAAAATTTCTCTTTCTGCCTTTAACTTTTTTTTTCACTAATTTTTTTCTAAATCTTTTTATTTATCACTCTAAAATTTATCTTCCAAAAGTTTATTTACACATTTCTAAACTTGTATTTTCATGCCTCTACATTAGGGATGATAAAAAATTCTACAGGGTCGGACCCCACTCCAAGAACAGAAAATGTATGTCCTAACCTCGTCCCCAATTCAAATTTTAAATAGTTAATATATATATAAATTTATTACACTCTTTTATTTTTTAATTCTAAAAATAATTAAAATTAATTATACAACCGGTAATTTTTCTCGAGAACATCTTTCGAACCGAAGAACGAGGTGGAGACAAAGACTAAAAATTTTCATGAGCATGAGAATGAGATAGAGCATCGTCACTCTCACCAACATCATTGTCATCTCTACCCTACATAGAATTTTCTCTATGTATTTTCAATTTTCTAACTTTTTAAAAACAAAAAAGAAAAAATTGTTACCAAACATGTTTGGTTTTCTGTTTTTTAAAAATAAAAAACAAAAAAATAGTTACCAAACATATATGGTTTTTATTAATAAAAACATGAAACCAAAAAACAAAAACTAAAAGCCTAAAAACCAAACACATAAATTGTTATCAAACTGACCCTAAACAATCGTATAGAAAGAAAAAAAAAAAGAGAGAGAAATTTAGGAAATATTTTTGTGTGTTTCAAAACTAAAAATAAGTCAACTCGTTACAGACTATTCATGATCATTCAAATAGTTTTATAATTGCATGTATGGTTGTCCTTTGACAAAGGACATATCTCCTTTCATAAAACACACACCTTGTCAAGTTTCTCATGAAAAGTTGATTAGGCCATTAAAAAATTTTATCCGACAAACTCCATTCCGCTCCGCCCATGATCCGACAAATTCCACGACAGCACGCCTCACTTCACGGCAATCTTAAAGAGTCGTTAAGGTCTTGTTGGGAACCCTGTCGAGTTCTTTGTCTATAAATAGGACCATTCCGCTCCATTTTAAAATACATGATCAAACCAATTCTCTCTCGAATTAACTTGAGCATTTGCTGATTTTAGCATCGAAGTTTCTACTCTGTTTTGTAGGTTCTCTGCACGGCATCTAGAGCTCACTGTCCAGCTCATCTTTCCTGATCCGAAGCTTGGAGACTTGATAGAATTCTTGATCAACATAGTTGATCCTCGTAATTATTGGTATTCCATAGTGTGGTGTTGATAAGTATAGAAATCCCAAGTTCACAAGACCTACTTGGACTTAGATTGGGTTGATAAAACTTTCTAATAAGGCCTAAAATAGATACTCTTGAAAATTCAACAACCAAAATAAAATAAACTTGTTGAAAGTTTATGGGCTAAAATATTC